TCGTGCTCAGATGTCCCAGGATCATTTGCAAGATTTCATTGGCGACTGGAACACGAGGACTGTTGATATGGAGGCCGCTGGGAGACGAGTGTTGGTTGATCTTTCAAAGACAACCATGGCGGTGGAGGTGATATTGTCAGTGAGCTAGGGCTGTGACACTCAGAACCAAGATGGGTTGAGCTGAGATCCATGGCCGGCGCAAATGCCGCGTCCGGGTCAGCACAAACAAAGCTTTGGCATATATCCAGGCTACAGTGTCTGCAGGACGGGTTCAGCCTCGAGGCTTCAACAACACCTGGTATTACGTGGTTACCTGCTTCAATCACCGACCTCAATTGCACTGGTCTCGGACCCATCATCGTCCGACGGTTGATCCTCATCAGGCCAGCTAAACTTGACAAGTGGGAACGGGCCTCTGAGAACTCGTGGTCTTTGCCCTGAAGGTGGCGGATGATCGCCGGGGAGCGAACACTCTAAAACGCCAGGGGCTAATCCCTGTCAGCACCCAAATCCAGGCATAGTGTCCTGTGGAAATTTCCAATTAGAGGGCTGGCGGGCTCTGCCGCCCCGTCGCTGGGGTTCCAAAAACAGAAGCCGTGGCCGTGTGATCATTTCCTACTTTAGTTACTCTTGCGAGGTAGAAACATTGCCCAGGCCCTTGTCGCGGCTGACTCGTCCACCGATCTGGCATTTCGTCTTTCGCATACCTGGACAACATGTGCAATTCTCCTGCGTCTCAATGACGGATCAACCCATGCGTTGTTCCATGGCCGGGACGGACATGAGCCTCACGAGCATCAGCAGCCTGGTCTTAGTTTGAGTAAACTCGTCATGCACATGGGGTGACTTGATCGGCGGCAGGGCTGCAGACAAACATGATCAACAGCAAGCCTTCGCGAAACGACCAGATTGTTGTGCTTGAGGTATGCGTGTATATGATATGCTTGAAAGATCATAAGTCAGCGTCTCGAGCAATTCACCATAGACTTGACGAGAAATGACGTGGCGATCCCCCGGGAGAATCCACAACAGACAGCAAATAGTACTGTGCTGGATACTTGCAACCGTAGGGATCATAGGTCTGAAACAGTGAAAGCTTGGTGTCTTGCGCCTGGGTGGGTTTGGACCGTCGAGTGGCTGATCAGACCCGCCGATAGGTTTGACAGTTACAGTCCGGGGGTCCATGGCCGCCCAAGGCTGCCGGACGTCCCAGAAATCAGTGTCCGATGTCAATGCAAGCTTGCACATGTGGACACCGTCGAACCTGTCAGGAATGTCAAATCTGCGCACTTGGCCGGTCAGTGACGAATGTGCCGCGCACCAGTTCTGGGTGCCGACCTGTCACTGACATTTGAGCTGTGGCTCAGACATGGTACCACTAGCTTCGGATTTATGTATGCATCAGCACACCAACGTGTCTGTAAAGCCGGGCTTAGACCAGCGACGATTCGTTGAGTGGTGGCAGGATCCGAAAAGAAATCTCCTGTCGACTAAGCGAATTTCATGGGCAGAAAAAGGGAACCAGGGCAAGCAGTCAAGACTGGGTCGAAGCGAGCTGGGTTCAGGCACCTCCCTTATGGAATATCCCGAGTCGCATATAAGCCTCGTTTAACGCTTGCGCATCCCGTCGCGGGACCTCTCTTAAGCTGCGTGGTCTCGAAGCGATCCAGGGAAGGCATTCGGCGCTGGCGCACCAAACCGGGCGTGTGCAGCGCGGCGTGGGTAATAAAACCGGACCGTCCACAGCGCATTGCGAGATGGAGTAGCACTGATGTCTGATTAGTGATAGTTGGGTCACCTTGGTCACTCTCTAGAGTCCCGAAATGTGGCGTTGTGTGGAAAGCAGGCTTTTCCATTGTGGTGAGGCAAGCTGAAGCCAGGCAATCGGGTTGCCGCCACTGACGGAATATTGCCAACAAGCGCAGCACGCGCAAGTATTCAAGGGGGTTGTGAGATCAAAAGACTACTTTGAGTCTTGATCGAGTATTGGTCAGGACAGACACTGGCTAACGCGATACTAATGACTCTCCAGGCGGATCGCCAAGGATAGGCTTGAAGGGGTGGTAGAGGGAAGAGGGGCCGAAGCTGAGAACCGGGTCGCTGGGTAGCGCATCGATCGAGACCAGCGTCTGCTTGAGTGGTGCAACGTTTCCAGCTGCATGCGACGAGACATTTAGTTGGAACAGAATCCTGACCTGTCACGATCAGAAATGAGATCGGAAAACGGTGGGCGAGTCCAGGACATGACGCATATGCAGGGAGGGCGTCGTCGAGGGAGTGAGGAGGGGAGTAGAAGGGGGGTTTCCTGTTTCTTGTTTCTCGCATTGGAATGTCAGCGTCGCTGCACAAGACAGGTTGGCAGATCGCGCATCTCGTACCCGTCCCATACCCTTCCCCTTACCCGGACGGACATATGGCCTCCATGTCGGCATATTTGCTTCCTGCGCCAGCGCCCGGTTCGTTGCGGTAACCCTGAGAACGAGGCGAAGAGGGTCGAGTGTTCACTGATCCTGCAGGCTGACAATTCGATTGATCATTGGCCAAGGTGTACGAAGGGGGAGCGAACGAACGTTGCAGCTATCAATGCCTTCTTGATCATGTCGGGGATGGGGCTTGCTGCCCATTGATGCATCTTCCTCCCCGTCGCTCGGGTTGGGGGATGTCCATGCCGACTACCGTACCCTGAGCAGTACAGCAGCGGGGAGTGGAGAATGGGGCTGTCTGAACTACGGCTGCCCTTCCTTCCCGGGAGACTCGAGGCGTCAAGGCTCCGTGGCTCGTACCCGGAAGGCACTGACTGAGTGGGGGTTGAGCAAAGAAGGAATCAACACTGGACACCATGTGCTCTTACCCACCCCGAAGATGATCGGAAGACCCACTACCAACGAAGCCACAGCGGCCACCAGTGGCAGTGACGAACCCGCTGCCAACTGCCACTTGTGCGTCGGCGCCGTTGCCCACTCCAGCTCCTGTGCGAA